AAGCACCCATTTTCCACCAGATGTATGAGAACCGCCTCGACAGGTCCAACGTTCCCTCTGCCATCTTCAACTATCTGAGAGTTGTACTCCACTCCACTTTCTGCAACAAGCTGACAAAGATGGGGAAGGGTTTGCCGTGCAAGACCAGGGTCACGACGTGCACGTTCACCTGGTTGTGGGCGGCGGTCCGAGGCAAGGGTTATGAGATCCTGTCTGGAAAGGAGTCCTCTTTGGAGCCATAACTCCAACTCAGAAGCAGGAGGCTGGAAAATCTCCATAGGGCCTCCGACAGAAAAGAGTAGCTGTGACACGTTTTTCTTTTTTCTTTTCCTTTTTTTTTTTGAAAATTTATTAAATTAAATGAATATAAGATAATATTTAAGATGTGGTTTATTCGATCTTAAGCTAAGCTTGCTCCGTATGCGCTGCAAGCCATTTGTTGTACTGGCGGTACCAGGTTGTATGGGATGGCTTACGACCTAACACTTCCTTGCGCGCAGCCTCCTTTCTCCCTTCATAACCACCAGTCTTTATGAGCCTCTCGTATGCCATGAATTCTTCATGAGTAATAAGATTCTCTTTCTTGGAAGGGGATGAGGTTGATGAGGACGCCTGAGAGTAATTTTCTTGAGATTGAATGACATCAAAATCTTCGCTAGTCTAATATTAGCAATGTTCAAGAAGAAGAAATGCGGCACATACCTATACTTAGACTTTTTAGATGGAGATTCCAGTGGGGAGGCAGATCGCTTCATAGCAGGTAATGGCGGTTCAGTTGGAATGAAGGGAGTGCCGACCAGATGAAGCGGGCCAAGGATGATTGTTGTAGGTGCCTGAACGTTAGAAAGAGGGACACCATGTGCCTGCCAACAACTGGTTTCCTCGTGGACCGTACAGAAGTTCTCTAATTCTGAGGCGGACAATTGTGTCACCTGCTGAAGAATGACACAAGTCGAAGGTTTGAATAAAGGTAGATCGGGAGCAGGAGCTACAATGTGTCGTGGAGGTGGGTTTTCGCCTTCGAAATTCTACGAACACATTAAGCCTGTGTTAGGACCTAGTAGTATGTACACACCGAATACCAAATCAGATTAACCTTCTTTTTGTGCCGCGCGCACTTCATCTAGCCTAGCTACACGCGTTTGATTCGGATTTGGTGTGCTGGGAAGTTGTCCGGTTGAGGCCAAGAGGTAGTTTGCAGGGGCTGAATAGTAGTGTGAAACATTCCGGCGGTGTTCTAGATGGACTGGTGGCTGAAATAAGGAAGGGATACCGGACTGAGATGAATTAGCCCCGGGAACCGTGATTGGTATTGGGATAGTAGGGGAGGGAGATGCGACAAATATGGAAGAAAGAGTGGACTCGGAGGGTATGGCTAAAGAGGGAATTTTATAAGCCACCGAACTTGCTGCAGGAGAATTGTGAAACGTTGCAAGTCCTGTCAAGACATCAAATAGAAGAATACAACTGAAAATCAGAATTACCCGTTTGCCTCGGTCTTGTAGGTGTCTGCGGTGCAGATGAGGGTGCCCGACATATGGCTCCCAACTTTGCATACATGACTCTCGTCACTGAGAAATTTCTCGTGACAACATCTGCGACACAAGAAGTGGGTACATGTCAAGTTTCTTGAACTACCGCAAAGGCAAGGAATACTGTTGGTGTCGGGCTACCAATATGAGTCCTTAGTACCTACACACATAAAAAAAAACACGTACCTTGGGGTTTTGCATCTTGTCGTCAAGCCATAGCCCATCACACCGAGTGTTTAAGGCTGCATCCGTAAGCCAAGAAGCCGTTGACCGCTCGTCATATGCTCTTGAGCACTGAAATAATCCTCAATTACCGGTAGCAAGTAGCATGCTTAAAATACGAGACTTCGTAAGGTATTGGCCCTTATAGGTGGTGCTATAGGTGCCATGAATCTTGGTTGAGAAGAGAATAGTGCCCTTCTTGCAGCGAGGACATAGAGTCCCAGCTAGAGGAGTTGGACCTGGCTGGAAGAAAGGCATGGAAGAGAAATAAGAGAAAATGTTGACAGGTAACGCACCTGGGGACAAACGCACTTGGGGCAAACGCTCAAGGACCCACAACTTGTCCTGGTACACAAAATGATCACAGAAGCAATGCTCAGGTACCTATAGGGACAAGGATATAGTTCCTACAGGGAAATAGTCAATATTGCCTTTGGTGACCATCTTACTTTGACTCAAGGGCATGCCTGACTTTTGACCCAAGGCATACCAGTTTGTCCCCAGGGGCATATTACATAGCTAGCCTGAAGGGACAAGCAATCCCTAAGGTAAGTTATCACTTGCTTGTCCCTCCAGGCAAACTATGGTTATGCCTCCCAGGAAGGAAGGGATATACATTGAGGTAAAAGAAACTTTGTACCTAGTGGCAGAAACAAAATGTTCCTGGAGTGGTAGCAATGCATAGGCCTTAGGTGAAATATAGTTTGTACCTACAGGGACAATGGGAAAGACCACTGGGATAGTCCACTTGTTCCCACAGGGAAGATAAGGTCATGTACCTTAGGGGAAAAAAGGGTTTATACTGCAGGAGCAAACAAAAACGCCTCCTGGTACAACAGATTTATGACTGGTGGGACATGCAATCAGTCACTGCAGGCATACTCTCTATGTACCTGTGCCGTGCCGTACCGTGGTACGTGTACAGTAACGGGATTGCTCTCATGCTTTGGCTCATAAAATGATCTAAAATGAGCTTTACTAGTAATTGAGCCATTTGGGACCTAGAACATATCATAAACTTTTTATCCCATCAACTAATGATATGATATGATATGATATGGACAACGATCCTGCGTATTGTATCTGTAGTTTCCATGATATATCCAAAGAATATTTTTGCATATCATATCTTTGGACAACACTATGCAGCCAAAGAGATATGGATATCAGTAAGAAGTTAGTTATGTTTAGTACTGTCTATGTTTTGCATAATATATTCATATTCATAATATATTTATATTGCTGGAGCCTGGGAGCATAATATAATTATATTCATAATCTTGAATATATATTCAATTATATTCGAAATATATTTAATTATGGTCAACCCGTCAGAGTGTTCCCTAGAGTGCAGTTGATACCAGCTATTACATTCCTTTGGCTTGAGAAGAAATGTTTTAGTAGAATTCAGTGGTGCCAGAATATATCAAAACAACTATTCCAAGTCAACTCATTGTATCATTATGTGACTTCAAATGGGGACATCAATTAGTGAACTGTTTGGTTTGTAGGGGCAAAGTCACATAACTAGTCTCTAGAGAAAGCCTTTAGAGTATGTTTGTTGCAAAATAAACCAGCCTATCAAGGTTTTGAACAGGTTATGCCATCAATGAATATATAATGAATATGACCTTGGCATAATATAATTATATTCATATTTATTCATATTCATCACAATGAGCAGGAGGCATTTTTTATTATAATTATTCATATTCATAACAATGAGCAGGAGGCATATTATAATCATATTTATACTCTGGCAGCATAATATAATTGTGGACAGCATACTTATGTTTGATTTCTGCCGGCGGCCAACAGACTTGGGTAATAAGCCCTTATGTTGGGTGAAGAAAGCAAATCTTGAAACCATCTGTCAGTAAGTAGTGGCTATGTGAAACAAGCTCTTAAAATCCCGCCAACTCCTTCTCTGTCCACTCCCACAGCTTCCCTGCTACCGTCTGGTTCAAAAACTCCCCGCGAATGTCGCCCTTCTGTCCAACCGGCACGTAAAAGCAGTCCTGCTCGATCTTGCTCTTGTCTGCCGTTGTTGCCCAGAGGGTATTGTACGCGCCTTGGGCGGGCGTGAGGGGCATTCTCTTCGACAAGCTCCGCTCCCCGCTCGATTCTGGCATGCTCAAACAACGGCGCTACGGCCAGAGCAAGCTCGCCAACATCTACCTCGCCACGGAGATCAGCCGCCGCTACCCACAGTTGACCGCTGTCCCCATCCACCCCGGGGTCGTCGAGACCGAGCTCCTGGCCAGCCTCGGCTGGTTCATCCGGGGCCTGTCATACCTCTCTGTTGGCGGCAAACCACCCTTTGGCGCCATTTGATATCCAAGCGAGGTCAATGACACCACGCGGACATCGGAGTCTGGAAGCGCTGCAGTCTTGAGCAGGAGAGGACAGAAGTGCTTGAAGAAGAGCGCATGTGCGATGTGGTTGACGCCGAAATGGACCTCGTAGCCCTCCTTGGTGAGTGCAGGGGGCACATTCATGATCCCGGCATTGAAAACGACAATGTCCAGCCGCTCAGCTTCAGCTGTTATCGTTTCCGCTGCCTGTTTAACCGACATGAGCGAGGTCATGTCACACTGGACGAATTGCGCGACAGAATGGGTTGCGTCGACGACCTCTTGCGCTCGTTTAGCGTCGCGGCCAGTAAAGTAAATCTTGGCGGGGTTGTGGCGCGCATACTCCAACACAGCTTCCTTCCCGCAGCCACCAGTTCCTGTTGGAAAACCATGCTAAGTCGTCAAGAATATTTGACAAAAAAGGCATGCACCCACCACCGCTAACAAAGATGACCTTCCCCTCCAGACTCGGGACGTCTCTTGCTGGATCGAAGTCGCTAACCTTGGGCATCAGACTCGGACTGGGATGTGGGGCGAATCGTGGTCGGCTGGAGAACTACAGTGTTCAACCAGCGATTAAAAAGCCCCCACTGACGCGTCCATGGGTAACGCGCCCACCGTCATCGCGCCCGAAGACTGCGCTGTCAGCGAGAAACAAAATTGAAGACGGTGATGTGCTCACACCTCCGGCCCGACAGCGTAATGTTGATTAGTCGAGTCTGATTGATGGGCGAAGAGGACATGACTTTGACCCAGAAGGCCAACAAGATCGCTCAAGTATACTATGCACAATGTGTAGGGCAGCCATTCCAAATTTAAAGTCCTGATTAAGGTCCGTAAGTAATAATAGTAGGATCACAATGCGCGCGAAAAAAAATGTCTTGATACACCATCACAGCACCATCAACGCGCCGACAAAGGCAGAGACCACAACAAACGCGGTGCTCAAAAAGGTAAAATCCAGGCCAGCACCACGAACGGCCAAGTTGGGGGCCCCGCCGCTTGCTGACGGATTGGGGCGACTTGATGAGGTAGCTTTTGACCCAGACGGCGCAACACCGGTCGACCTGCCGCTCGGACCTCCGGTGGGCGCAGGCTGGTGGAAGAGATGAATGCACTCCTCGGAAAAGAGAATGTAAAGCAACTGACCACAGAGCTCAGACCGCTGGCAGGACCGGAAGTCTGGACCGCCTGGCCGTTCCCGACGGTAGACAGGGTGGTACAGGCCCTTGTTGCTGGGGCTGGATGCGCGGCAGGGGTGGCGCCGTCGCCCTGATGCCACGTAGAGCCCCCGTAAACACCCATAGGCTCCCCGCTATCTGCTTGACAGCTGGTAAAGCCTGCATCGTAGTTGCCTGGCATGTTCCATTGGCATCCTGGACCGGGTCAGTGCACAGATGAAGGAGAGAAAGAGGCGAACTGACCCATGACATCGTAGATGTGTTGGCAGTAGCCTGGTGCATTTGGTCCTTTGGGGTTGCAGGCCCGGAAGCAGAACAGCTGGCCGTCCATGAAGTTCTAGTTTGCTGATTAGTTAGACCTCGCGAGACATACACTAGCACCTACTGTCCACTCGAAGATTTGCTGAAGCTGGCCGAATGCGCTCGAGAAGACAACTCCGCCGACAGGGTTTCCTACGGGAACATTAGCTGGCTCAAGCTCTTTGTAAAGAACACAAACCGTTTCCGTCTGCGCCTACACCCCCTTCAGCCCACCCTAAAGCTCGGAAAGGGAGACATACCATGGGGATCCAGCTCTAAGGAAAGTTGTCAGATCATTCTTGCGGGTATTTGGTGACTTACCGCCTCCTTCATCGCCTGCAGGGACATTCAGCTTGGTCATATCGACAGCGCCTGTTTGGAGTGAGCAAGACACAGACCGCGGGCATTATGCGCACCGGTGACTTGAACAAAGTCGGGCGTGACGATCCAATGAGCGCCCGTCACCGCGCCGTCTGGTATCAGTCGTGTGCCGTAGCCGTCCTAAAGCCATTTGGTCAGTATCGCCGGCAGATAGACGATAAGCAGCATGCCATACCTTCAGACACCACGAAACCTCAACGCGCTTGGTTCTTCCGTTTAGTCGAAGTCACCATAAGAAGGATCAACACACCTCTGTCTCACCGATACCTGAGCCTGGCCCCGGCTGGGGCGGCGCCCACACACACCAGTCGTCCACTGCATTCACTGGGGAGCAATTAACCTTGCCCTAAACCGCGCAAAATACGCACTGTAGGCATTCTGGCACATAGAAGTCTGGTTTGCCACCGTCCCACATCGATTCGTCCCGGTTTGGCCTTCCTCTGTATGGTCAGGCAGGTTCGACGGCAGGTATGTCGCGCTGTAGGTGGGCGCCGCCGCGAGAGAGGGCAGGGACAAGGAAAGCAGCAATCCCACAGTCGTTAGCATCGCAAGTAGGAAAAGAGTGAGGGAGGAGGAAGAAAACAAGGAACGGTCTCAAATTGCCGCCAACGCTGGCCGTCATATGTACTCTTGCGAGGCCATCCAATTCCGGGCCTATCGCAAGGCCTAAGAATAGATCGATTGCGGAGAGATTTCGCCGTGGCGTCTGGAGGATCGCATTTGCGTCCGATCCGAGCTCCGAGTGAATGTTTATTACCTCGAGCTACGCGGGTTCATCTGGTTCCAGCCAATAAAAAAGAATGAGTGAGTCGTATTTCGATTAAAAGGCTCTAATAAAGTGCGGTACTTTTCTTATTTTGACACTCTAGTCGACATCCTCCGAGACCACGCCAGACTTTGCAATGAGAATCTTGGCTTTGGGTGTACCGCTGCCAGTTCCGAGCTCTTCGACAGCCTTGACGACTTCCATGCCCTTGACAACTTCGCCAAAAACGACGTGCTTTCCGTCGAGCTGCGCAAGTCAGCAACAAGAGCGGCTGCAAAATGAGAACAAACGCACCCAATCCGTAGGTACCGTTGTAATGAAGAACTGGTAAATGGCGTTAGTACGGAGTTAACGGCCACCAACAAACTGCGTACCTGTGATCCATTTGTGTTCCTCCCCGCATTCGCCATGCTCAACAACCCAGGCCGAGTGTGCTTGTGGATGAAGTTTTCGTCGGCAAACTTCTCGCCATAGATGCTCTTTCCACCGGTACCGTTGTGGTGCGTGAAGTCGCCGCCTTGCAACATGAACTGTCCTAGTCTGAGCACAAAATAAACGTTGTAGAGTATGTCAGCGCACCGAGGGTATTATCCTGTGAAAGCCGGATCCCGCATAACCGAACCCATGCTGGCCAGTGGCGAGCTCACGGAAGTTTCGGGCTGTCCGGGGAACCTCCGCGTCGTAGAGCTTGAACTCAATGCGGCCCTTGGGCTGTGAGTTGATATGTATGTCAAACTACGGTGCTGGTTAGGTGTTAGGGGTCCAAGAAAGAGTAGACTACGAACGAAGACATTGGGGAGTTTGCTGGTGGTCGTCAGCAATGGGCGAGAAGAGGCAACGAATGCATACCTAGCAGCACCTGCAGTTGCTGTCGATGCAACGGCGGAGGAAGAAGAGAAGTTACGCAGAGCAGCACGAGCGACAGCGGCCATGGAAGCTTTTGGAGAGTCTGAAGAGAGTCTGAGGGAGAGAAGCAAAACAAAAATTAGTATCAGACTTAGGTAAGCGGCTGCCGATCACTCTCCTTCGAGCTTTCATCTTGGGATGGGACTTGCTGCAGACCTATCCTCGCAATGGATCAAAGTATCTGAACCAATACCACACGTTCTCCATGTTGAGCTATCCAGGTCCGCATTCTAACTTCTGTCTAAGCTGTTCTCACAATTAGTGCACAGAAAGCCCGTGAACGCATTCCCTGCAGAGTATTATGTTTGCACTTGGATGAACAACGACTTACGCAACTTGAAGATACTGGCAAGCATACGGTGCTCTTTTTACAAGGCTGGCAAGGGAAGGAAGAGACGTTCGCGCCGCTGTAGTCTCGTCCGCCTTGCCTAAATTGTTCACCGCCGGCATTGACTGTGGGTCAACAAACAACCTTTCCTTTTGCTCAAGTTCACAACACAGTCGCTTCCGCTGCCGATATAACTCAGGGAGGTCTCTCTGGTGTCCAGCAAGTTGATGATGCGCGCGCCTCCCTCTCGCTACACGGTGACATCCAGGAATACCAGCGCGCCATCGGCTCCCCCCAGCTCTGCCACTTCCCGGTCATCATTGCGGTCCACGGACTTGTTCTGGGGCTCGGCGTCGACTTTGTCTCCGCATGTGATATCCGGTATGCTGCAGAAACCGCGCAGTTCAGTATCAAAGTCTGTTTGTTATCAGGCGTCGCTAAGTTCTTGGCTGAGAAACGTCTAGGAAGTCGACATTGGGCTGGCGGCAGATGTAGGCAGCCTCTCCTTCCTCCCCAAAGTCGTTGGCAACCACTCGATGCTGCACGAACTGGCCTACAGCGCCAAAATGTTCAACGCTGAAGATGCCCTCCGGATGGGTCTTATTTCTCGCGTAGTCCCTGGCGGCCGCGATGAGGTGATCCATGCGGCACTCGAACTGGCTGGCATCATTGCGACAAAAAGTCCCATTGCGGTGTCCGGGACCAAAAGGATATTAATTCACTCGCGAGACCACAGGTACGGGTTAAGGCTTCCTCGTATCACTGGGTAAACTGCCCGACAGTGTCCCGGAAAATCTCGACTATGTTGCTGCATGGAATGCAGCAGCGTTGCGCACTCAGGTTAGTACCTTTTCGCTGTTTTGTTTACTTGAAAGTGATTATATCATTAGGACATTCCAGAGGGCCTGCGTGCCTCACAGGAGAAGCGACGAGCCTCGTTTGCGCCCCTCAGGAAACCAACCTCCAAACTATAATTTACAGCATGTAGTAGATATATACTGTCTGAATGATTCCCAAGGAAGGCTGGTATTCGAGTTGAATGAGCAGTGGTTCAAGGTTTATTAGTGTGTTTATTGACTTATGACAGACTTCGGTTCTCGACGCCTCTAATTTCACCATCCTCCACTCGCCGTCTTCGCCGTCTCGCGCGTGGGTTCAAGAGTAATGCAGAGAGTATGACACCCGCATCCATTGCCTGTGATTTCGCAGCGTGAAGAAATATATCGATAAGCACAACCACTCACAATGACAATGCTGTAAGAAATGGCCGCAATGCCGTCGAACTTGGGCTTGAATACCAGCGACAAGTCCGAGAAAACGCCTTCCGGGTGGGTACCGTGCGTCAGCCGCCAGAGGAAATGTGCAGTGGGCCGACGCACCCCCCATTAGGTCAATAGTCATGAACAAGATCGAGACCCCGACGACCTCCTTGCGCTGGTAGATCTCGTAGTACTGTGCCAACAGCCCCAGGGCGAGTAACACGGAGCTGAAGATGCCAAAGAACATGATTGCGCGTGGGTTCATTGACGGGCGAATCGAAAACACCATTGCGGCCTCGACGCCGCCCAGGAGCAGCAATGCCGCGAGTCCGAGCAGCAATGAGTGCCGTTTGGGTCGGGGGGAGCCGTAATACTGACACTGTGATCGTTTTCACCCGAAAGTGGGAGTGGAGGAGCGACAAACACAGACCTGGCCCCACGAGACCATACAGAGCAGCCCGAAGAGCTGTGGCTGGATGATCAGGGGGATGTTGAGGTTCTGGACAATAGCGTAGACGCCGAAAAAGCCAGCCGAGATGCCCCAGCAGAGTCTGTAAGTATTGCGCTCAGTAAGTTCCACGCCAGTCACTGTGAAGGTTGCGGCACACGAACACGAGCCATGGCGACAGCCCCTGCGTCGATTTGTCCCGGTACGACTTCCAGACTTGGGGCGTAAGCTGCACAGTCCAGCAAATCGTGCCTGTGATGAATTTCGGTGAGATTTACCAACCTTTACAGAGCACTAGCGCGTACCCATTGTTCCAAAGACATTCTCCGCGACCCGGTTCGCCGGCATGGTCCACTCTCGGTGAGAATAGGCTCACCTCCCGAGCTGACTCGTCGTGGTGAGTGTCTACCAGAAATGTTTAATGGGCGCAATATGAGAGCGCAAAAATACCGCATCACGACAGGAGGGTTGATTGATAAGATAGTTTCAACGTTAGAGCGAGTGTGTGTCTATGTAAAAGAGTGCAGTGGTAATAAGTTAACGTGCAGCTACTACTGGAAAGCGGGAGAGCTAGAGTATAGGGAGGGAGGGGAATATAATGATACAGCAGGCATACTATACACAAAAGCGAGTCGCGACGGGCTATGACACTACGTCAGAGCCAAATTTACGCGTATGTCGTGACCGTCTGGCTCCCACGCCGACTGAAGACGCAGTCGTGTCCTCCCCTTGTCCTCGAAGCCCAAGGATATTCATCGTCATGCTTGGGAAAGACCGCGCGACAGGTGAGATGCTGAACCGACTCGAGGGACGGCTCAACATAGCACCGGTGTCTTCTGACGCTGATATTTGGTGCCCCGTTCTCCGTCGCACAGGGGTAATGGGAGTGCGATTGTTCTGTTGTTCAGGGGACAGACTGGATTCTCGCGGTCGAGGAATGAGAGTCATAGGATGAATTGGCTCCGGAGGGGCGACAGCAACGGTCAGCATGGGCCGCATTTGGGAGGGTGGCGACCCTCGGAAGTTGGGTTCAGATTTCTGCCTGGCTAGCGGAAGTTGTTGGTAAGGAGGTGATCGTGAATTCCCACGGTCAATAGACGGCGGGGACGCTGCGCGAAGTCGGGTAGCCCTGCTAGCGAGTGCTGCTGACAATTCAGGAGTAATCGACGTTGGAACAGAGGGGCTTGGCGTCGATCTCGTCCGACTAAGGGATGGAGAGGGACTGTGTGATGGTGTAGGCGCGGGCATTTCCGTAGTAATAGGCAAAGGTGGCGCGTCGTCGTACAGGCCAGTGGCTTCGATCAACTGCTGCATCGAGCTTTTGCGTTCCAGGGTCCGCGTAGGAGGCAATATGCTTGAGAAGGACGCTGTTGCTGGGCGGGGCAATGAATAGTTCTGCGTTATTGGCCGTTGCTGTGCTGTCGGCTGCTCTTCAATCTGCTTCTCTGAAGGTTGTTCGGAAAACCACAGCGACTGATCAGCAGTTATGGGTCTGGGAGATTTTTCGCGTGTGGCATTGAAAGATGGTCTTGGAGTCGCATTGTAATATTCCGCATTAGAAGATGCAGAAATCGGCGTCATGAAGTTGGCCGGTGTGTTGGGACTCGTGACCGAGGCGGAGGCATACTGATATTGGGAGTCGTCAGTGCTGTCTCTCCGATTGTCGTCCGACCGCCTGCGCCTGATGAGGCGAATGAGGAGAATGAGGGTGATAAGCAGTGCGACACCGCCGACGGAGCCAACGATGATGGCAATGAGAGTGGATGAGCTGAGTTCGGCTCGCCGCGAAAGGAAATGCAGATGGGTTGACTGTTATCTAAGGTCAGAACGATGGCCAGAGAAAACAGAGAGAAAGCGCACCACCACGGCTCTCTCAAGGACATCCGTTTCACCGGCAACATCCATCTTCGGGCTGCCAAGCTGTAGTGAGCAGCCTGACAACGCCTTCTCAGTCAAGCTACGCACCTCAACGCGACTGCGAGGCCAAACAGCCGGCATAACAAAAGCAAGGAAAGCGTCATGCGGCTGGTGGTGGTCTTGGGAAGAGAGACTACGCCTAGTCTATTTGAAATTTCGCATAACAGTGAAAACCATCAAACCCGCTTGATTGATCTACGCTTACAATCAAGTGACGGGGGCTCAAGTCGGCTCGAGTTAGCCGTAAGTACTGATGCACTCTGTTGCACGAGAGGGGAACGGTGGGAGGAAGGAGTCTATAACGACTTCCCTGTATTCTAGGACTTGAATGAAACTTGACCCTGCCTAAGGTCTTCAAGTTTTGATTCAAGCATAAATAAATCGAATAAATAAAGTTTTGAACAACTGACTGGACAAGTGCGCCAATAAAGATAACAACCGTCCGAAGAGGTCCGAAGCCCTTCTTGAAGTTTCGAAACGGGGTGTTGGCACAGTGTTGCACGCGCAGGTGGCGATGATTCAGATGCCGTCGATATCGATCTTGGAGAGCCTATGCTCCAGTAAGCATGCAAGCCATGCAGAGCGTTATGACAATGTTGAGTATGGCGTCGACGGGTTGAAGATGTCGTGTTCACCATTGTCGCTGCTCATGGCTGCAAACTGAAGTTTGCGTCAAGGCACACGTTATCGCGATGAGTCATACATTCCCTCAGTTCCCGGATCAGTGACATCATTCTGATCAGTATTGGCGATCAAATGTCAAAGCTCGCGCAAGATGAGGTCCAGTATTGCCTGCAGCCTGCTGTAGTCCAAGAGTAAATACAGGAATATTCCGGCTCTACGACGTCAAAGACGTGACCCTCCCACAAGTTTGCTGACGCTGGCCTCTTAGCAAGAGGCAACGCGGTACCCAGAGTTGCTTCAGCTATTTGAAAGCTCTATACATAAAGCAAGAGAGGGTAAGTAGTTACAAGTATGTTTGACTTCTGTAGATCTTATTGGAAATTTGAGCTTGAGCTGACTAGCCTACAGCTCGTCATGCACGCCATCTTCCGCCGTCGCTTGGGCAGCAGCAGCCAAACCACTCTCACTTAGCCATGCCCTGATTATCTCATTTGCCTTCCCTGGGTGTTCGAGGTGGCACCAGTGTCCACCCTCCATAAACTGGCAATTCATGTTGAAAAGAAACGCCGTGGAGGAGCAGGAGGACGTACCTTGGTCTTGAGATTGGGTATGAAATCAGCCGAACGAAGGAACTTCGCAACGAAACCCCAGTTAGCGACAGGGTCCTGGTGGCAAAATAGATGGTTTAGATATATCTGGGTCGATGGAAGGGGAAAATGTCAACCTGTTTAGGCAAAAGGGACAGGGCGGGCTGTGGGAGGGGTGTGATTGCCTTGCTCTTGAGCGAATTGCCAGGTTAGTTTGCGGTTCTGTGGATCCGGGTGTCGGGGTAAGGGCGACCTGTAGGGAGCATGCATACCTCTTCGGTGTAAAACTGGAGCGCTGTGACACTGCTTCAGTGCAACCCGAATGAGGAAGGTCAAATACCAACTATTCTCAAACTTCTGGATGGAGTATTGTTCTACGAAGTAGTCTTCTTCGTCCGGACTGAAGAAGGGAACCGGAGGAATCTATCCCGAAAGGTTGAATGACTGCTATGCGAGCCGAGAATACAAACATCAGCAACGTCAGCCCAGGCATCCAAGAAAGATGTCGTGCTTCTCAAGAATTTTTTGGGAGGCGAGCTTGCAGTTGAACGGAGAGTAGCTCGGGTCGTCCTACGAATATCTTTGGCAAGCTCTGCAACAGCCTCAGCAGTACGTTCGTTGAAGTAAATTTGATAGGAGAGTGTCGGGAGCGAAGAGACGAGATGTTTTATAGGTGTGAATGCGCCCGAAGAAGACAAGTACTGAGGGCCTTTCAGCATAGAAAACTGGGTTATAGATTTACCTACGGGGACAGCAATTCCTACGACGCCGGTGAATATGTCTGGACGCATACGAGCGGCCGTATAGCATATTTGTGAGCCCCAGTCATGTCTATGAGATTGTTAGTTGAGCGGGGGAAATGATGATAAGACCAACCCAAGGCAAACAGCAGACGTAACCCCGGCATTTTCCAGCACGCAAACCATATCACGGACCATGTCATCCATTGTGCCGGAGCTTTTCACGTCGCCGGGATGTGTGGATTCACCAAACCCTCGGAGGTCAGGGACAACAAGTCGGTATTCGTTCTACTGGTAGCCCAGTGAGTAGCAGCCCGTCGAATATAGGACTGAACAAGCCTGAAATTCTTGGATTTGGTTGGACCAAGTGCTCCAAAGACTTGGCCAACCGTGGACCATAAGCAAAGTCGTTTTGGCCTCTTGATTGATGTCGACATAGTCTTTAAAGGGCTTGGGTTAATAGCACAGAAGAGCCTGAGATACAGCGTACGAATATTAATATCGACGTCCTTTTCTTCGGCGCGGTTTCTGGCTTTGCATGTTACCAAATTCTTGGTGTAGGCTCTTGGATTGAAGGTTGTGGCAGAGGAGGCTTGGAAGAGTAGGAAGAGAGCACTCAAGATCGCGAGATTGACCATCTTGCACCGACAGGCACTATTTACAGGTGAGCGGATGGCGGTCGGTCGCAAGAAGACGCGTCTTTTTGAAATTCTTGGAACGGATGACAGGGCTTACGTAAAACACCATCTACCCTTCCCTTGTCCACCACCGGTTGCCCTAACGCCAGCCGCTCGGCTCCCACCAAATCCTCTGCTACCACTTCTAGTGTCAGAATCAGGGATGCCAGACGCGCCAACCAGTTCAAGGTTTGTTCCACAGAACATTATCCAAGTAGATTGACGCGTTGTCTATTCAGTTTCATGAGGCTCTACGAGGCCTTGCCACCAGAAGCGAGACAGCAGCTAGTGGAGAAAAGGCTGGCTCCGCTACTGGATCATGTCTCGAGAGAGCGAGGAAAGAAAGGCGCGTTGCAGTTGTCTTGAGAATGAAACAAGAGACTAAAGGCCACTTGTAGTCCTCAAATCCGCCACACAGCTCCGCATGAAATATGATACTGCGCCGGACCTCAATATTCGAGTGAAGAAGCGAGAAATCAACGCGCTTGTCGATGAACTCGTCCGGGACGCTAAACGCTCGATTGTCAAGGAGCGATCGCGTCGTGAAGAGCTGATGGAGGAGATTGTAGAGAGCATAACGGAGTGGTTAAACGACATTTGGAGCGTGGTTTTTGAGTATAAAATCAACTTCGAAGAGGCCCATCGCTGTCTGCTCTTTCTTGCCGACGTCCTCGACACTCTCACAACAATTCCCACTGCTGGGTGCGGTTATATTCGCTCTCTGAGAAGCTTCTGACACCTCCAAGGCAATGTCGCTGCTCAATAAACCACCACAAAATCACAATCGAAATACGAAGGAAGCGCAAGGTCATCAAAAATTTCACCTTGTCTGGACCACGTCGGCTTGACCGTGTTCTGCTATGGATTTGGCGCGATCTCTTCGTCTGCATGTTTTTCAAGAATCGAGGAACCGAAAACATTCCCAACATGCTTACGGATATCGAGGACTGTCTGTCGTGGGAGGCATTAGAACAACTTCTATATGGTGGCTCCAGTAGTACGTTTCTTCTGGCTATATGCGGCTTTCTCTCTGAAACATGCACAGGTACGTATGACGATGAAGATGGAGAAGAATCGGACGAAGAGTCCGACCGTGAGCAAGAATTTGGTTGTCCTTGCCGACTTCATGGAAGTCATTGGTCGCAAGCTATCAATGAGCACCACACTTCCGTCCGCGATCTTGTTCTCGACCACCTTACTGCACTCTTCGAAACTGCACCATCACACAAACTTTACTCTAGCATTCTGTCAATCAGCCCCACCTACGATGAAACAGAAGAGCAACTTCAAAAGACCGTCACCGAAATCGCAGGTTGTTCTGCCGATACTCTTGTTGCGGCACTCGATATTCACACGGCAGAAGGAAACCCTATTGCTTCAGCGGCCCTTTTAAATGAGCATTCTTACCTCCTTCGGCCTCGTGATGCGAATATTCTCCAAACAGCTGTTGCTTCCCTAGCGGAACTGAGCTCTCTCCACCCTCTTGCGCTCCAAATAGCGGAACGAGAACTACTGGACACCGCTGCGGCCATTCGTGTCGCGATACGCTCCGCTTTCTGTAAAATCGAAGACAAGATAGCTGGACCGGTGCTCACCGACATAGGAAAGCTGCGGGTGGATACTGCTCCGAGGCGACAGCGCATCGATTCATGGGTCGATAGTGTTATCACCCCTGGGTCGGGAACTACTCATCCAATGGCATTCGCAGCAATGATGCTGGGCTTTCCATTTGCGCCGGGTATGGAAGACGGAGACGAGACTGGGGACATGGTTGGCTTCTTGGACCTTGACCCCGGTGACCCAGACTTGGAGGACTTGAGGGAGGAGTTTCGGCCGCGGTTACGGGAGCGATTCGAGAGTTGGGTCAGCACCGTTGGTGTGATCAAGGGCGGTGGGTCTGCTCTCCTCAACCGGGTCTACCACAAAATTGTGGAGGAGATGCCTTATTTTAAGCATGCAGATGTGGTGAACGAGATGATGAGCAGGTAGGCAGGAACAGTTGACTATATTTCTGGTCCTGACCCGTCCTAGAATCGGTGAACGACCAAGCAAGGCGCACATTGCAGACGGCATGGACGCAGTGCTCGACTTTTGCAAGGCGCAGCGCAAGAAGCTGGTAGCTATGGCAGAAAAGCGGCGGAAGAAGGAAGCGGCGAAGAAAGCCGCCGCCGCGAGCTCGCCTCCTGCCGATGACTCGGACGGCCCACCTCCTCTTATCCCACTATCCAATCTCGTTGTCATAGGACCTCCCTCCACACCCACAAGAACATTTGGCGGTATGAACGATGTCGATTAGCGTTAGATCTCAATTAATTCTATGGTACGATGCTCGTAAATGTTGCTGTACAGTAGCCCTCTCAAGACTAATAAAATGCATCTTCTTAAGCTTCTTGGGCTGGTTGAACAACTTGTTGTAAGCAAATTGCCCTATGATTCCCGTGACGTCCGACTGGTTACTTCAGAGTGACAGCTATTCACACTGTAAATATGGAAATTTTGGGTTTGCTTAAAATGTTACCTAATTAACTCGTTGAAGTGCTTTTTATAATGTTAGCTTACAAGAGTGTTTTAAGTTTTTTCTAAAGTTATTTCCTAAACCACTAGTTTAAACATCTGTTTAAGCATGAATTCTATTTAGTCTGTTAAGCAACATCCTAAACAAATACTAAAAGGACTCATTTAAGCATCTTGTTTAAGATCTACCAAAAATTCAAGAAGTGACTTAAACTTCAAATTTTGGTAGATCTGCAACAAGATGCTTAACTGAGTCCTTTTGGTATTTGTTTAGGATGTTGCTTAACAGACCCAATAATGCTCATTACCTTGCTTCACAAGGTCCCATCTGGTTGAAATTCCATCAGCCAAACAAGTGTAAACATCAGGAACAAACATGAACAAACAAGTCACACTAATATGATAGCCTGCATCCTTCTGGCCCGCTTCTCCAAGAATCTTTTGAATTAGTGCCAAGCCTCAGCTAGGCCCCAGCCTTTACACAGAATTTGATAATGAAGCAAGGTCTCCACCTGCGGCTGCGTGCACCAAAGGTCACTAGTGCTTAAACAGATGTTTAAAACCAGTGATTTAGAAAATAACTTTAGGACAAGCTTAAAACACTCTTAGAAGCTGACATTGTAAGAAGCACTTCAACAAGTTAACTAAGTAGCATTTTAAGCAAGCACTAAATTTCTCTATACTTATTTACAGTATGAAGGACAATGTTTCGTCAGACTTGATCCGATTCAACTTGCAGTGTTGTTGATAAGTGTCAGGGGAACCCCCGCTTCGGCCTCCTGTCAGGGGAACCTCCCTTTCGGCCCCTCGGAGACGATTCCGATTCCGGTCCGACTCCGGTTCCAACTCCGGTGATCGCATCACCGCCTCCGTCAGGCGCATCGCCGCCCCCGCCTGGCGATCCCCCTGGGACCTGGCCTGCGACATGGCGCAGGCATACTGCACGGAGCAACGATCAACCTTGGCGCGTCAAGAGCGCAGTATATAGTTCCGCTACCTAGCAGGCGGACCCTTAGAGTTTCTTCTCTTTGGATCCTCCCCTGCTAGGTCAGCCTCACTTGTATTTGCTTACTTCTATTCACTCTTTGGATCCTCCCCTGCTAGGACCTTGATCTCAGGCCTCCGGGGTTGCCCTTACAGCAGAAGAAACTCTCTACGGGATCAACCGGACAAGATTGCCAGGTTCGGCGCTGACTCAGGCTCGGAGTCCGAGTCCACTCCGCCCTCGTCACCGCCCCTGCCACTTGTCCCCTCCTCCTCTGCCACTCCTGTCGTCCCCGCACCTGTCATGCCTTCCGGAGCTACTCCTGACGCTGACACTCGGCTGGATGCACTCGAGGCGAAAATCGACCGCCTAACTGAGGCCCTTACTCTCCTCACCACCCAGGCTTCCGCTGCCGCTGCCGCCGCTAATACTGCTGGCGGACCCCAAACACCACCACCGGAGACGTCGATTCCGACTCCGACTCCGGTTCAGGGCGATTCCGAGGCCCTCTTTGGCGACATCAACCTCGCCTCAAAATTGGTTTTACGACCAAACCCCCCGTTCACCTTTAACGGCGATCGGAAACGCGGCCGCGTTCCTCACGCGGTCCGCACCTACGCCCGCCTTGCCCCTGAGGCCTTCGTGGTCAATGGAGAGGCGGCGAGGAAAAGGCCGTCCGCTATGCCATGTCGTTTATGGCAGAAGGACCTGCTCAGCAATGGGCGGAGCGCCACGGAAGCAAAGCCCCGTTTCCGTTTCCGTCCCTGGGGCTCGTTCGTTCCGAGTTTCGACTCCGGTTCGTCGAGGAGAATGAGCAAGATCACGCTCTCTCCAAACTGGAGACTTCCGCCTATCACATGGGCACCAAGGATGTCTACCAGTACACCGACGACTTCGAGGACCTGATGGACCTCGCCGGATTCGAAGACGCGTTGGTCAAGGTGACCAAGTTCCGCCACGGACTTGATCCCCTGATCAACAACGGAATCACGTCCTCGAATGACCCCCCGGACCTCCGGGACTATCTTAGCTGGCGCACCCGGGCCTTCCGTCAATACGAGGCCCTGGTCCGGGCCAAGCTGATCAAGTCAGCCGCCCCCAAGACGCCTGGCGGTTTGATTCGGACTCCGTTTCCGGTCAACCGCGTCCCGGCTCCGGCTCCCTTCCGCCCGGTGGCTCCGGTCGTGCCACCCGCGGCCCGCGCCCCCGCTCCGGCGCCTCCAGCTCCCGTCCCCATGGAGTTGGATCGCACTAGGGCTCGGGGTGCCCCTCGTCGCGCCTGCTTCAGGTGCGGCGACCCAAACCATCTCGCCGAGATTGCCCCCTCCCCGCGGATGTCCGCTCAATGGACATCCTCGACGAGGTGATCCAACAACTCGGTGACGAGATGTTAGCGGAGTTGATCGCCCGCTACTCGGACACAGCTGCGCTGCCGGAAACAGCCGCGGAGTCGATGGCCGGAGAGGATTTTGTCCCCGCGACGAGTGACTGGTGTGCCCTCGTTCGCGTCCGTAAATCGTTTCGCTTGTTTGTATGACGAATCAATTCCTTTGCCCTACAACGAGCCTGAAACAGAAAGACATACCCTCCCCCGCCCCCGTTTCGACTCCGTCTCCGACTCCGCCCGCGACTCCGGTCATCGTCCTTCGCCGCCTCACTGCCTGGGAAAAGAAATTGCCCAAGCAGTACACTGTCGCTGCCTCCCCCGGAGTGAACTCCCTCCACCTCCCGTTGGAGCTAGAGTCCACTACCAGCGCGCTTAAGCTCTCGCTCTCTGGCCTGGTTGACTGTGGTGCCACCTCCGACTTTATCGACACAAACTATGTCGCTCGGAATGGCATTCCGGTCCGCACCCTGGCGCAACCGATTCCGGTCTTTAACGTTGATGGCACTCCGAACGACGCCGGCTCCATCAACCAGATCGCGGACTTGGTCTTACGCTACAAAGGCCATTCCGAGCGTGTTCAACTTCGCCGTCACTCATCTTGGTAAACAAGACCTTATTCTGGGGTACTCCTGGCTGCGGAAGCATAACCCGGAAATCAATTGGGAAACCAAGGAGGTCAAGATGACACGGTGCCCCCGCGGTTGCTCCACTTGCCGCGAGGAAGAACGCGTCGAACGGACTGAGCTACGGCGACTCCGGCTGCTCCAGAAGCGACTCCGCTCCGGCCCGTTCCCCTCGGTCTGCGCCATGGACCTCTCTGGGCCTGACGACGGAGACGATTCCGTCTCCGGTGACGACTCCGCCCTGCCTGATCTGATGCCGGACTCCGACGACGATGAAGACGATGGTCAGCTTGAAGATGGTGACCGCATCTTCTACACCTCGTTCCGCCCCTCGGAGGAGATACGCTGGCAGTACTGTCTCACAGCGCCTGGCCGAAGCCTTCGCCAGGAACTCCGCCCCTCCGCCCTCCGAGATCCCGGACTGGGCTAAGGAGTTTCAGGACGTCTTCAACAAGGAGTCCTTCGACACGCTACCGGAGCGGAGAGCCTGGGACCACGCCATTGAACTCGTCCCCGACGCTAAGCCCACCAACTGCAAGGTGTACCCCATCTCGCCCCTCGAGCAACGCGAGCTCGACGCGTTCATCGAGGAAGGGCTTTCGACGGGCCGGATTCGCCCCTCCAAGTCTCCGATGGCGTCTCCGGTCTTCTTCGTCAAGAAGAAGGACGGCGGACTCCGCTTCGTCCAGGACTACCGTGCTCTCAACGCGATGACTGTCAAAAACCGGTACCCCCTTCCGCTGATCAACGACCTCATCAACCGGCTCAAAGGCGCTCGTTACTTCACCAAACTCGACGTCCGTTGGGGCTTCAACAACGTCCGGATCAAGGAAGGTGACGAGTGGAAAGCGGCTTTCCGGACTAACCGAGGCCTGTTCGAGCCCTTGGTGATGTATTTCGGCCTGACAAACTCTCCCGTGACGTTCCAAACGATGATGAATGACATTTTTCAGGACCTCATCCTCTCCGGAGACGTCATGATCTACCTTGACGACATCCTGATCGCCCATTCCGACCTCCGGAAACACCGGCAGATCGTTCAGGAGGTCTTGCGGCGACTCCGAGAGCACAAGTTGTACCTCCGAGCGGAGAAGTGCGACTTTGAAAAATCGTCAATCGAGTACCTCGGAGTCATCATCTCCCACAACCACGTCGAAATGGACCCCGTCAAGGTCGCAGGCGTCTCTGCTTGGCCGACTCCGGAAAACAAGAAGGACATTCAGCAGTTCCTTGGGTTCGCTAACTTCTACCGCAGGTTCATTCGGGACTTCTCGACCCTTGCGCGCCCTCTTTTCGTGCTCACCAAGAAGGACCAGCAATGGACTTGGGGCGACGCGGAGGCCTCCGGCGTTCCAAGCGATCAAGGACGCGGTCACCTCGGAACCGGTCCTGGCGATTCCGGACGACGCACGGCCTTTCCGACTTGAGGCGGACAGCTCTGATTATGCGACGGGGCGGTTCTTTCACAATCCGCCCCGGACGGGAAGTGGCACCCTGTAGCATTCTATTCCAAAAGCTTAAATGATGTCCAGCGCAACTCACGAAATCCACGACAAGGAGATGCTGGCGATCATCCGCGCACTCGAGGAGTATAGACACTTCCTCGAGGGCGCCGCGCATCCCGTCGAGATTTGGACTGACCATAAGAATCTGGAGTACTTCAGGAAGACGCAGCACCTCAACCGGAGACAGGCCCGCTGGTCCCTCTACCTCTCCCGGTTCGACTTCACGCTGCACCACAAGCCCGGCCGCGACATGGGCCGACCTGACGCCCTCTCTCGGAGACCCGACCACGGAATCGATTCCGACAACTCCGACGTCGTCCTTCTGCGGCCCGAACTCTTCCATGTCCGCGCTCTCGAAGGTGTTTCCGTTTCCGGCCCTGGTTCTGAACTCCTTCGCGACATCCGCGATGCCCTCTCCGGTGAGCCTGACTTAGAGGAGCCCGTCGCACTAGCGGCCCGGCAACTCCTAAGGGTCCAAGGTCAAGCTCGAGGCCCCCGCTCCTCGCGCTCCGACGAGTGGGCTGTCTCCGGTGGTCTTCTTCACTTTCGTGGGAAGATTGTCGTACCTAAGGATAAGGACCTCCCGGAGACGCATCATCGAGCTCTGCCACGACACTCGAGTTGCCGGACACGCTGGTCGCTTCAAGACCTTGGAGTTGGTCTCCCGGAACTACTGGTGGCCTCAGATGTCTCGCCATATTGGCCGGTACGTCGCGACCTGTGACTTGTGCTGTCGCACCAAAGCACTCCGGAGACTGCCCCACGGAGAGCTGCACCCGACGGAAACGCCCCCAGAGCGTTGGCATACCGTCTCCGTCGACTTCATCGTCGAGCTTCCGGAGGCCCATGGGTACGACGCGATCATGGTCGTCGTCGACACCCTTGGGAAGCGTGCCCACTTCTCGGAGTGTCACACCACGGTCGACGCAGTAGGGGCGGCTCGCCTCTACTACCGGAATGTCTGGCGCCATCACGGGACTCCGGAGAAGTACGTCTCCGACCGCGGCTCGCAGTTCATCGCGGACTTCACCCGAGAACTCTGGCGTCTAATCGGCATCAAGCCTGCCACGTCCACCGCGTACCACCCGCAGACAGACGGTCAAACAGAGCGCGTCAACCAGGAGCTGGAGCAGTACCTGCGGATCTTTACCAACTATCAGCAGGACGACTGGGATGAGCTGATTCCGGCCGCGGAGTTCGCCTACAACAACCACATTCACTCCTCCACGCAACAAGTCCCCTTCATGACGGACACGGGACGACTCCGCGCATGGGCTTCGAACCCGGAGTCCGTTCCGCTATGGAGTCCGTGAACGAGTTCCCGACCGGATTGCCACTGGTGTTGCCGAAGCCAAGGCCGCTCACTAAGGCCAAGGAGGAGTACAAGCGCTACTACGACCGGAGACGCACTCCGTCTCCGGAGTTTAAGGTTGGCGACCGTGTTTGGCTGGATGCCTCTGACATCAGGACGACTCGCCCCTCGGAGAAGTTCTCCCACCGCCGCCTCGGACCGTTCAAGATAGTCGCGGAGATCAGCAAAGGTGCCTACAAGCTCGACCTCCCTCCGCGCTACTCGAAGCTCCACCCGGTCTTCCCCGTCGTCAAGCTCGAGCTCGCCCAAGACGACCCCTTCGACGGACGCCCCGGCTACGACCAGCCCCCTCCGGACCTCGAGGACGGAGTCCCGGGTGGGAAGTAGAGGAAATCCTGGACGCAAGGGTGAGGTATAAACGGCTGAATTACCGTCAGATGGAAAGGCTACGACGCGTCGCCGCGACCAGTGGGTCCGCTTCGACCGCGTCTTCGCCCGGAGAAAATCGCGGAGTTCTATCGTAAGTACCCTGGCAAACCACGGCACATCGCCTCTGCAACCTTCGACTCGATTCCATTCCGGTCTATGCGTCGGGACGCCGCATTCAAAGGGGGGTGATGTCAGGGGAACCTCCCTTTCGGCCCCTCGGAGACGATTCCGATCCGGTCCGACTCCGGTTCCAACTCCGGTGATCGCATCACCGCCTCCGTCAGGCGCATCGCCGCCCCGCCTGGCGATCCCCCTGGGACCTGGCCTGCGACATGGCGCAGGCATACTGCACGGAGCAACGATCAACCTTGGCGCGTCAAGAGCGCAGTATATAGTTCCGCTACCTAGCAGGCGGACCCTTAGAGTTTCTTCTCTTTGGATCCTCCCCTGCTAGGTCAGCCTCACTTGTATTTGCTTACTTCTATTCACTCTTTGGATCCTCCCCTGCTAGGACCTTGATCTCAGGCCTCCGGGGTTGCCCTTACACCTCCTTCGGACCCTCCGAACGCATCCGAGGCGCATCCGACCGGCGCCCCCTCGGACGCTCCGACCCACCCCGACCATCGTCCACGGCCTCCTTCGCCCGCACAATCACCGATCCGTCAAGACCCTCCCAACGATCACCTTGGGACAGAGCCTGCGACGCCGCTCAGGCCTTCTGTGCCTCTACGTCGGCAGTTACGGACGACCAGTATATAGTTGGCGCCCTAGCAGGCGGACCCTTAGAGTTTCTTCTCTTTGGATCCTCCCCTGCTAGGTCGGTCCCTCCGTGTATTCCCGTAGCTTTTATTCACGCTTTGGATCCTCCCCTGCTAGGCTTTCGTCGGAGTCTCCAGGGTTGCCCTTACAATAAGATGATAACCCTTAACCTTATTAAGCCCTTAACATAAGATAATGATAAGCCCTTATCATGGACAAGATTTATGATAAGGCCCTTAATATGCTTAATGATCACATCACACCACTGAATTCTCACCCCCCACCGGTACTACTGTAGGTCAAAATCTGGCAAGCAAAATAACACTGTGCTTCCCAAACACCTCTACTGGGCTCCTGGCAACTCTTCACAAGCTCTTTTCCAAGAATACAGTCAATCCAATATAAACAGAGCAGGCTATGTGCTGCTGTGCAGCTCTTACACAGGAGGAGGGCTTATGGAACTGCTACAAGCTGAGTACAGTGGGAAGAAGCTTGACAATGGTGCACTTGGAGGATCTGGGGATGATTTTGATGGCTGTACATAGCTACACAAATAATATTTCCCAAATAGGAAATTACTTATTAACACCCTTAATTATGGTATCCTTATTAAGACTTATCTTGATATTAAGGCCTTACCTTGCAGGACTGCCCTTATTAATTGACAACACTGGATCATTCGAGACCAATACGACCGTCAATCGGTCATCGGGTCCGCCCAACCGAGGAGGCGCTTTGTGTACGTATGCCGTCGGCACGGAGTCACCAATGGTGCTGTAATCGTTGTTGCTTTTATATACTGTATAATAATATAGTTGGTTTCTAGTAGCATCTCTCTTCCAATGAACTTGTTTTCGGATTACAGTTGAGAGGCTCTTTTATCCTCGAACTGAACTGGCTTCATCCCAGCCGTATCAACCGATAAGATTGTGGCTGTTGTGCTGCGATATGCTGTGTTTGTGGGTATGTGTGACAGATCGTGACTCTCCAGAATTTGGCCACAACGGCGTTCGTCATTCCCAACTCAATCCACTCGCATGTTCCCAGACTCACAGCTTATTTCCGTGCTGTAGACGCGTGGTCACCTCACTCTTTTCATCCATGCCATCTATCCGACCTGCGACGATCGCTGAGCTTGCGGCAGTCTCTAAACCTTCCCCAGACAACTCGCAGCCGCTGAAATACTATCTGCGGCTTGCGGAGACCCACAAACGGGCGGGAAGGACACTTGCTTCTGCCGCCGGAACCGGCCCGACGACCACCAACCCGACGGGCAGCTACGATGTTGGTCTCGATCTTGAGAGGTCGTTTATCGAGTTTGCGAAGGCGGCGACGCTCATCGTGGACAATATCCCTGGCCACAGAGACTATGCCCAGGAGTTGACCGAGAAACAGAAGTCTAATTTAAGCGCGGTGAGTCGATTAGGTGGCGGTTTGATCTGTGGCGGCTAACGATGAGCAGAACGGGCAGGACCTACTCAACTTGCTTGGTCGTGTGAGGACTACACTAGTGGAGCGCTACGAGCGATGGAGTCAGAGTCCTGCAGCCAGTGCGCCTGACGCGAAAGACGCGGTACCTATGTTTAAGCTATACCCTTCGTGTGTTCTCACAATTTCTACCTTCGTTTCACATGCTAATAAGAGGGGCAGACCAGGGAGCGGACCACCACGACCAGCACCGCAAATGAAGGCCAGCCAGGAAGCCCATCTAGAGGCGCAACGACAAATGGCTGAGGAAGCTGCAATGTGGAAGGCCCAAAGGGAGGAAGCGACAAGGAAAGATGCGCAAGAAGGAATTGTTTATGAGGACATTGCGAGGCGGATGGGTGATGAGTCAAAGAGGAGGGCCCAGAGAGAGGAAGCGATCAGAAGAGATGTTCGAGAGGAAGCTATTCGAAGAGATGCCCAAGCATATTCCAACTCACCAACCAGCTCGGCTTCAAGCTACCGAGGATCGACATCAAGCTCATCGTATACCCAAGCCTCATCACAAACATCGATCTCAACACCACAATCCATGCCATTGCCGGTGTCTATGGCCTCTATGGGCGGACACCCTTCTACCACATCTCAGCCTGCGGCCCTACCCCCAAGTTTTGCTGCTCGACCATCAGTGTTGACGTCGTCAAATGGGAATTACCCATCAAGCGCTGGTGTCTCTTTCCCGCAACCACTTCACCAAAGTCCATCAACTCCGTCCTCCTCTACGTCGTATCCTTCAACACCAGCTTCTGCTACTATACCAACTCCAGGGCCCATGCCTTTGAGGCCACTATACGAATATGATGGTGAAAGCACGGATTCAGAAGGACCCAGCGGATGGAGAACAACAAGGACGAATGCGTGAGTGTTTTTCGGTATCGTGGGATGCATCTGACTCATCAATCGCCACCTTGCAGTCCCCAAATGCGACCAGGCCTACCCTCGCTCTCTAGTTTGAGCCTTTCGGATTCTAGTATGTGGTCCTTCCTTGTCGTTTCACTAGTGTTGACCCATGTCAGCCCGTTCCATTGACGGACTGCCTCCGAGTGTAAATCAGCATCTGAGCGTGACCTATCCTTCTCTGGCACGTTCCATGTCAACCCATCAACGTACGCAAGGCTACATTCCTGGTGCATCTGCTCCAACCGACAGTTTTGCTGGAATTGGTGCTTCAAATTGGGGCGCTAGTCAAGCTATTGAAGCTGCTCGGACAGCAGCAGCAAGACCGTCAGAGCTTCCTCCAGCGTCGTATTCGACTAGCTTTGCCCCGGTTTCGTCTCCAACGCAAACACAGCCCCAACAATATCCACAACAACAACAGCAGCAGCAGCAAAGACCCTCTCCTCCACGTGTACAACCCTCCGCTTCGCTAGACCGGCGGTCGTCACAATCGAGAAGGCCTTCTGATCCAAGTGCGCTCTCGACGAAGCTCAAAACTGTCGTTCTGCCGCAGACGATAATACCGCGCTTCCTCTCGATTGCGAGTGCGAATACTGCGAGGAACCTCGAGACATGTGGGCTGTTGCTTGGCCGCGAGGTCATCAGAGAGAACGACAAGGCGCGGTATATCGTGCAGACGCTGTTGATCCCGAAACAGCATGCCACGAGTGACACATGCACGATGGACGAGGAGGAGGCGGTGCTGGCGTTTACGGAAAGCAGGGACCTTATTACGCTTGGCTGGGTAGGCTTCTCTTCCCATCGAAACTATCGGCTCATTTAGGTGTTTAGATACACACCCACCCCTCACAGTCGTGTTTCATGTCTTCTGTCGACCTCCACACCCACGCGTCGTTCCAGTGCATGCTCCCCGAAAGCTTTGCTGTCGTCTGTGCTCCGAAATCCGAGCCCCGGTCTGCCGCCAATACCTCTTTACCTACTGCTTGCTGACCCAACGACAGATTTGGGATATTCCGCCTCACGGACCCGCCTGGGCTCAAGACCGTCCTGCAATGCACGGAGAAACAGGCCTTCCACCCGCATCCAGATCTGCCGATCTATACGGTGAGTTTTTTTACCGTCTTCTCTCATCGAATGTGGGGCTGATGGCCTGCGCCAAGGACGCGGACAAGGGGCATGTCCAGATGCGGGAGAGTGCGCCGCTGGAGATTGTTGATTTGAGGTAGGAGAAGGTGGTGTTTGGGATGTAATTTGTAACTGTACTTACTGGAGTATCCATTGCTGCAGGGTAGTGAAGAAAGCAGAAAATTCATTTTTGGAATCTTTATATGGAATGAGACGGCTAATAGAGCTTATTAGCAACTCCAAAAAAACGCTCGCTTAGCGTTTTTCTGGCCCTCTGATTGGTCGAGAGGCCTTAAGCGAGCCTAAGTGAGGGATTTTTTTGCGCTGCTAATAAGCTCTAATGTTGTTTGATGCTTTCCATTCAGATTGGAGCTCAAAAAGATACAAACCTGTAGAACCAAATAGAACGCAGCGTCATTGAAGCCAGCCTCCCAGGTGAGTTACCACTCGGCGAAAACACAATCCTAGGGAGAGAACACGTTGCCATATCACCGGGAGGATCGATAATCATAACCTATATAAGTATATGGAACCAACTTGTATTCTGAGTAATACATTTTATTGTACTCTCCTATCATCGCTCAGCAACTCACGCAGGAGTGCAATCTAATTGCCCCAGAATCCAATAACAGTTTTATGTGGCGGGGAGTGCAATGACCCCACCAGACGATAATTATAACCTGACAAATGGGAAAGTACAACCACATGTTGATGAGAGACAATTGATGGTGGGCCAAAATGACAACTTGGAAATGCAGGTTGTAACTCAGCTTATCAAAAGATACAGTGTTCAACTTACAAAGTTGCAACTTTTTAGTGACAACTTTTTGGTAGACAACTTCCACAGGGGAGACAACATTCAAGTTTTTGGGGGACAACTTGACATTTATCATCAATGAGATCAACGGGGAAGCAGTGACAATCAATCTATCAACATAAAGCCAGGCCTTTTCAAAAGTTGTACTTAGTACATTGAGGCTCCAATATAAATAGATTCCATCACAGTCTACTTTTCCAACATATAGTTGTTCTTTGAGATGTAAGTTGTCTCCCAAAAAGTTGTCCACCAATGGTAGTTGTACCCTATATGTTATCTCCACTTTCACAGTTGTACACAAAAAAAATGTAAAATGCAATATAAAAAACACATAACTTTTTTTCCAAATATGTACCAAATACTTTTTGCATAGTATGTCGCCCATAAATACTATAAGCAGCACATAATGAGAATATTGTTAGTGCCGGCAAGTGGTGGTCTCTGACCCTGTCATTCAACACACATACTACCACCAACTCATTCATTCAAGTTGAACAATAAATTCTTGGCCCTGAACTGATTCATTATGAAAATTACAGAAACCACTATGGACAGCGACTAGGCCCGTGGAAATTTCCCTACCCCCACACATACAGGCAGCTTCCTGTGGTCTGCCAAGTTGAATGGTATACAAGCACCTGTATGGCCCTTGTAGATGTTAATGGCAGCCACAAAACCAAAAAAGCAAGATCCACATTGGCACATACCTGTTTTATCTGGGTGAAGTGACCCAACTGCACCTATCATGCCCACTAAACCCCTCTAATTAGAGGCTAAGGGGGGGGTTAGCCTCTAACTGGAGGGGTTTAGGCCAGTGGCCGGTGTGCTCTTAGGATTCCCTATAAGTTAGTGGACATGGCTGCTCGCTGGGGGCCCAAGTCCACTGAAAGTTAGTGGTCCTTTCCTCTGCTCATCAAACCTCTTCTCAGTGTTGATCTCGACATTGCCCGACCTCCCGCCCACTGTCCCGATCTGATGGCGCATCAAAATATTAAAGTTTGGCATCTTGTCTAGATAATCTCAAATGTATAAGCGAAAATTGAAAATACATAATATTAAAGAAGATATGATATTTTTGATCTGATGATCTGGGATCAAAAAATTTAACTTGTAGAGAGAACCATTCTAGTCCATATGGTAAAGTAATGAAATGCATAGGTATACTCCTTAATAAGATATAGGCTAATGATGTATAATATTGCTGTCTATAGTCAGTGTCAGGGGATGAGGGTCCAGGTGCCTAGTTGATACCAAAGCCGGGGGAACAGCCCCACAGCCAACTACTTAAGTACAGGGCTATCTGCGCACGGACCAGTCACGTGATCAGTCACAGCTGTCACATCACATGCTCCCCTTACACCAACCCCTCCTCAAGATCCGTCGCCTCGACGGATAGGCGGAGTGTAGGGTTCTGCGAACTCATATTCGGGATCACCAGGGAAATAGAGGTTGTCGCCTATGACGCGATGACTGCGCAGGTACGCCCCTCGTCGGGCAGTCTGCCGGTTACGCGGCCGGGCGTGAGCTACGTCGATCTGCATAGGAGAGCCGATCGGGGTAGGTGACGCTGGTCAGCGCCGACGGAGTGGCCATAACCACCGAGGGTGCGAAGGGGAGTAGGGTAAGGCTGGGGGGTAGGAAGAGATGGTGCCGCGGCCTGCATAGGTGGGGTAGTGGCGGCGGCAGGTTGGCGGGGTAGAGAAGACGGGAAGAGGGGGGAAGACAGTCGCGAATGCCCAGCTGGCCCACCAGCGGCCGAGGCCCTCGGATAAGTGGCAGGTCGAACCGCAGTGGTGGCGCGGGGCACCTGAGACTGGGCGTGGATCACGGTGGACGAGCGGTGCAGAGGGGCACGGTCGACATCCATCTTCGTGGCACGTGGTACAGGCACAGGCGCGGCAGGAGGAGAGGGGGCAGGTCCCTCAGCAGACGGTGGCTGACGTTGCTTCTTCGCACGGACACGCTTGCGCATGAACCGTTTCCCAAGCGCGATAAGCGCTTCACCGATTTGCTGGTCGGTTCCCCGGATAGAGACCCGGCGCTCGCCAGGCGCAGCGCGATCAGAGTACGCGCGCAACTGAGCACCGGAAGTGTCGTGAGCTTGGTGGAGACCCTTGCCGCCGCGACCCACGATATGCCCGACAGCCGAGTCAGGCACCACAAGCGTACAAGAGAAGCGCGTGACAGTGTCGGGCGCAGTAGGGGGGAAGGTTTCGGCAAGTGGGATAGAAGTGTGGGCCGCAGCAATGACGGCAGGGGTAGGGGCCGGGATCGTTGGAAGAACCCAGCGACTGCCGTCCCAGACACCATGGAATGTAGGACCAGGGGAAGGGGGAGCAGGGGGTGGAGCAGGCGTACCATACTCAAGACGGTCGAGACGGTCGATGAGGCGAGTAATTTCGCTCTGCAGAAGCAGGCAGTACGAATACAGGTCAACAGAGACGCCGGGAGTCGTCATTGGAGGAGAGAAGGCAAGCACAGTAGGGTAAGGACGAATATAGGAGATAGAGAGGATCAACTGGGGCTAGAAGAGTGCCAGAGTCGATATAGAGGCTTTGGTATGCTGTCAGGGGATGAGGGTCCAGGTGCCTAGTTGATACCAAAGCCGGGGGAACAGCCCCACGGCCAACTACTTAAGTACAGGGCTATCTGCGCACGGACCAGTCACGTGATCAGTCACAGTTGTCACATCACATGCTCCCCTTACAGTCAGACTTATTGAATGTTCTTATTAATACAGGGAATTATACATAAGGTACGTCTAAGAAACTGTATGACCTCTATAGTGTACTAGCCACTAGCATAGCTGTATGGTTTATATGGTGTTCACTAACTTTCCTAGGTCCAAAGTTAGTGAACATCATCATAGTGAATGACCTCTATATATATACACTAATGTAGAGTCTGTATAGCCCTATATATCTCTCTAGAGTAGTTATGGTTATTGATATTTATATATTATCTAACTAGCACTATGTCCACTAACTTTGCTAGGTTCAAAGTTAGTGGACAGCTTACCTATATCAACCAATGGAACTGAGGGTATGTATCCACCCAGAGGGTCCATATACCACATATATAAAAGTATATACTAGTCCTGGACTCCACTGAGCTATGATCAGGATCTGGTGTAGATGTCCACTAACTTTGGTTCCCAGTGGACATCTTACCTGTATCAACTAGTGTAACTGAGGGTATGTAGCCACTCAGAGGGTCCATGTACTATGTACATAGAAGTATATACTAGTCCTAAACTCCACTAGACCATGATCAGGATCTGGTGTAGATGTCCACTAACTTTGCTAGGTCCAAAGTTAGTGGACATCTTCTCTATATCAACCAGTGGAACTGGGGGTATGTACCTACCCAGAGGGTTGTATACTATGTATATAAAAGTATGTACTAGTCCTAGGCTCCACTGGACCATGGTCAGGATCTGGTGTAGATGTCCACTAACTTTCAGGGAACCAAAGTTAGTGGACATTATACCTATATCAACTGGAGCAACTGGAGGTATATATCCACCCAGAGGGTCCATATACTATGTACATAAGAGTATGTAAAACATAATAGGACTTGGTCTATTTTTCTGAAAGATTTACACATAATCAGATGCTCTAAATGTCAGTGATGTCCACTAACTTGATGCATTTATCAATCTCAGTGATGTCCACTAACTCCCGAGTCGGTGCACATCAATTGCTTAATAACATGGGCAATACTGTAGCAAATAGGATGGGGTTTGTGGTATCCTTAATAGCACATATGCCCGAAGTTGTCTATCAATTTTGAGGCAATTCTGAGAGATTCATGAAAATTGGGGTGAACGAAATACACTATTGTAATCTATGTTCTAGTTCCAGGTAAAAACTGCACCTATTTTCTTAACAAAGTTAAAATTGATACACAAGTATATAGGATGCTTAGAGAATCAAGTTTCAGAGTTCAGATTATATTTGTGGTGATTAGTCATGCACTGATACTAAAGTGATGTCCACTAACTTTCCGAAATTGGTGTACATTGATTGCTCAACTGCAAGTCCAATACAGACTCAAATAAGATGAGGCTTGCTTTATGTATACTTGAAGATCTGCCCATGCTACCTACTCTTCTACTTTCATGAGACTTCAAGAGGTTTGTGAATATCATCCAAAATATACTCTGGGACTTGACATTCCAGTATCAGGTAATATGCTAAACTTATCTTGTGAATAAAGTGGAAATCAAGACTGGTATATCACTCTATATATATAGTAGATAGACCATGTGGGTGGGCACATACT